ACTTATAAAACATCGTCCAGTTTATAATTTAAAAATCCTGAAATTTCTTTGCGTACAATATGCATAATATTTTTTCTCATAATTTTCTCTTAATTTTTGCCTTCAGCTGAGTTAATTTTATCATTTTTTTGTATGAGTGATGACTAAAAAACTCCACTTGTATGCATTGAAATAATTGAGGATATCCGGAAAACAAAAAGTCTTGAAAAATACCCGGAATACCGGGAACATCCGAAAAAAAATAATCCATGTATAAAAACTGCAAAATCAATTTACCTGCTTTTTTTGATACTGCTGCTGCTGATGTAGCAGTCGTTGTTTGCGTTATTGAAAAACATCGTGTGGTTTTAAGTAATCAATTTAAATTGAAGATGATATAACTTCTGTTTTTCTAATTAGTTTGTAGTTTTCAATTCATAGATTTTTATGGTTTCCAATATTTTCAACATAATGCAATGTTGAATATTGGGAACAATAAAGATATAAGAAACTTTGAGTCTTGTACATCTTAAAGTTGCATTCTTTAGAATGCAACTTTTTGTTCGCTATCAGACTAATTCATAGACTCATTCATAACTAAATTAAAAACAATGGTTGATTTTACAATTAATTAAAGTAAAATATTTTGTAAAGATGTAAACAAAGAGATTAAATAAAAGGAGTAAAGTCTACGTGTCTGAATCTCTCTTCAACTAATCTAAAACGAATTAAGCAAATGAAACAGCACAAAATCAAATAACTATGCATAAATTCCATAACTTACAAAAATTACCTTCCACACCAGTGTTTAAATGAAAAAAGGCGAACATAAAGATAAAATACAAATGAACTTCCCTTAAAAAGTCATATTTAAAAGATTATTATCAACAACAACAAAACAAAACTTTTATGAAAATAAACAGGTACTGTACTTACTTTAACAGTGTCAACAACAAAGGATAATCTAATTCTCCAGCTCTACTTCATGGGTCTCATCTTATAACTCCCAAGAATAAATTATATGCAAATAACTTTTCCTCTATTTCATTCCTTGATTATAATATATTATACAACTATAATGACTATAAAAAACTTCTTCTGCCAGAGAAACAGGTTAACCTTTTGTTAGACTTAAAAACATTGATAAAAATAATAATCTTTGAAACATTGCTAAAAATAATAGTTACACATTATTTCACTTAATAATAGTTACACTTATTTTCATGATGTATTTTCAAAGTAAACTAATAAATAAAAATTAACAAGAAATCATTCTGTAACATAAACTTCGTGTTGACTTTATGAAAAGGTATAAAATTAAAATAAAGCTGCACAGTTAAAATATCACTTTACACAACAAAATTAAAAAGTTCTAGAATGCAATATGAAAAACAAATGAACGTTATCAAAGTTAAGCACTGAAAGTATCTTTATAAAATTTCTGAGACAAATTAAAAAAGAAAAATGCCTAACAACATGTCTAACACTTTTGTTCTAACTTTATTTTAATGCAGGAAGCATTTTTGTCATTTTTTTATCTTAGATATAAACTATGATACATTAGATATAAACTATGATACATTATATGATACATTATATTATAATACATCATACAATGCATAACATAATGTTTAAAAAATGTATCATGACTAATCAAAGCTCAAATAATGACCCATGAGCTGCAACTCTCACTTTCCGCCAAAACCTGATGCTCTACCAAATAGCAGAAAAATATCTAATTAAAAAAGCTGATATTTTCTTCAAATACCTCTAATTCTAGCCTGGAATTACTAACTTTTAATTAAAAATCAAAAATCTACAAAATTCAGCAATTTGAAAATTCTTAAATCTGATTTAAAATAATGGTTTCCAAAGAAACAAAAATAATAATGAAATTTAATTTTTTCAAAGCTAAGCAATAACAAATATCAAAAACAATAAAATGTAGCTTGCAATAAAAAATATTTAGAGATAAGCAAAAATCATTTCTACATATAACAATATTTAAGTGTAAGCTTAAAAAAGACTAAACTAAGAAACGCTAGAAAGTAGCATGGGCTATTTCAAAAGTAGTATAAAGGGCTATTTCAAAAAAAGTATTTTTAACTATCAGGTTCAAGAATTTTGCAAAAAAGGGACACTAGCTAAAGAAACACAAAGCTAATTGCCAATTAAAAGCTATTTTAAATGTTTTTTATAATATATTAATTTATATTATAATATATTAAATAAATAAAAATAAATATGGAGTATGCTCTTTATAAATATTATAATATACTAACCGTTTCTATAAATAATAAATAATAAACATTTTAATATTTATTTATGTCGCTAAATAAATAGATATTAAAAACTTTTAAAAATATTTTATATTAGGATATGAACCTAAATTCCACTATTTCCTTACTTTACATTGAGCACAGAACCAATATCCTTTAGGTTTGCAAGATATTTGTAGACAAACATAATGCGACCAGTCTAAACAATGATCACACTGAAGCCATTTTTGGTTTTTTCCAGCTGCCTTAGACTTCCCGCATACTTGACACGGCCATTTTTCAATTCTCACATCTTCACACCGTTTGATGACTTCAGCCCATGCATCCTCTACAAAATATTGCTTAATGTCATCAAGACTTGCTCTAGGATCAGCAATCTTATTCGATAACTGCTTTAAAAACTGGCAAGTGGTAATTTTAGCACTCTCGTGTAAAACCTGCAGGGCAACTGTTCTTTCTACAAACCAACAGAGACGGATATGATCTTTTTCAAAACTACCTAATTTTTCAAACGCTTTTATAGCTTTGTCAAAAAGTCTCTGTTTGTTTTTACCTACACGACCAGGTGGCTTCCGCTGGGGTTGCCTTAAAACTAAATTTATATGTGGCTCTTGAGAGACTACTTCACATATTTCTTTATTTATGCATTCAAGTGGGGTAATCATAGGATCTGCACTTGAAGGTGATTTAACTTCTAAAATTTCTTTTGATGATAGATCTTCTGTAGATGTAAAACCTTCTAGACAAGGATCACTTTGATCTACTGTAGATGTAAAACCTCCTAGACAAGGATCACTGTGATCTTCTGCAGGTGTAAAAACTTCTAGACAAGGATCACTTTGAAACTAAAATAAACAAAACATTTTTCTAATGCAGTTCTTTAATGATTTGAAAACTGAAAGCATCTAAAATCCATTGACATACCATCAGTTCCCATTCACCAGAAATGCATTGTTGATTAATAGATTCTAACCAGGTTATTGCAAGTTCAAATTTTTTGGGTGGCATTTCAGCGAGCAAAGAGGCTATTGGTTGAAGGTAACTCATTGCTGTTGTAAATCTTTGTTTGGGAGTGGCACAACAGAGAGGTAATAATTCTATATTTGAGGTAATATGTGATGGCGCTTGGTCAAAACTTACCTGGTTTGCTACAGTATTGCATGAAATCCACCTAAATAAATTTATGTCAATGTAAATAATTTCTGTTATCCTAGTGTAAAGTAGGTTAAAAAATGTATTTAAAATTTTTATTTCAGTGTACACAAAAAAGAATTCTTCTAGCCAATTAAATAAAAGTAATTATTTCATTTATTGAACTATAACAGACAATCAATTTAGCATTAAAAAATGCAAATAGGGGATCATCAATACATCATTTGTTTTGCTTTCTAGATTACCTGAATGGCATGGTAACTTTTTAAAGTAACTTTTTCAAGAATAAACAATGACTCAGAACATTTAATAAGTAATAAATTGCGTGCAACATTACAATACATGTTTTGACTACTAAATTGTAAATTGATTATTATTCAAATAAATTTTAATTTAGCAATCTATAACATAAGTGGATTGAAATTTAAATAAGGTCATGAAATTATATAATATTACGAACCTTTATTATTATTAATTAGTAGAAAACCCAAGGTTACCTTTTATGAATCAACTGTAGATCATTAACAGTTACATTCTTCGTTCTTAGAGCAAAAAGAACATGTGCACACGGCACGCCAAACCCTGATGCAGCATCACAGATGCAAACCCAGTCTATTATGTTATAAAAAGTTGATTGCTGATCGATTATTTGTAATGAATCTCTGTCCTAAAACACCATAAAATAAGTAATGATTGACTAGCAAATCTTATTGGAAAACAAAAAATAATAAAAAATGGAGTACATTTAATAAAAATTATTAACCTCATATAAACTTAAATCAGACTTGACACTTTTATCATATTGTTCCATGAGATGACGAAGAATAAAGGAAGAAACATGACGTGAATAAAACTTTAGTGGCTCTGGAAGTTTATTGTTAATTTTTAGTTGTTGGTCAAAGTCTGCATGTTTAGATTTTTCTATTTGCACTCTATTAACCTTAAGAATTTTATCTATAAGATTTCCCGGTGACATGCGTGACAAAAGGCCAACATCTTTAAGTGTTCTATGATATCTAGTCAGAACAATAATTAATTGTTATAAAATTAATTATTGTTAAATAATTCATAAAAAAATTAACTTATTCGATCTAAAACTTTTTCCATTACAAGACTTTTCTATTAAAAATAATGAAGTCATCTTAAAATAAGCACCTTTCAAGTCTGTTATTAGTATGATTGTCTAAATGCATCAGACCTTTTCTATAGTGACCCATAAACATTTCTGGTATGGTCAGCCAGTTTTCTTGAAGATACACATAGAACGTAGGGAAATTTTTTTCAATATTTAACAAAGCTTCAGCGCATGTTGGCTGATTACCGTACATTAATTTCTGAGTAGCCTAATGAAACATTTAAATAGTTAAGTGAGAGCATAGTTGCATTTTTACAGTAGTTTTATTCATAAATTTTCCAATTGTTAGTAAGATAAACAATAAAAATAATTAAAAATAATATTATAATTGCAAACCTTGAATAATAATTCCTGATCGTCAGCAGTAAGTCTACCCTTTTTAATTTGATAAATAAAAGCTTTAGCTACATGAAAGCGACAGAGAAATATTTTATTTCCTGGAAAAACAGACTGTAGTCCAGATATTTCTGCTTGAGCTTTATCAACCATGAATATCGACTTTTGAAAAGTTTCAATCCCAGCCCATTCCTTAGCATGTGTCATTAGCAGCTGTAGATGTGACTGGTCCTCACGATAAACTAAAGACTGCACTACAGGTCGCCCCATGCCATTTTGATCCACAACAGCCATTGTGTATAATGGCATAGAAAAGTTGTTAATCTGGATATTATTAGGAAATTTATTAATAGCAATTCATTATTTTTATAAATACCTATTTTTTTAAATAGAAATTATACCCTCAAAAAAAATCTTACGCCACACACTTAGCCAATGTTAAGACAAACCTTATAGGTACCATCAAGCATGATACACTCAGGATACTTTTTCAACAAATTTATTTGTTCAGTAGTTGTCCACGTTATACACTCTACTTTTCTATCAAGATTGGCATCAATATGGGATATGACGTTTGGTAATTCAAGAACCTTTATAACTTCATCGAGTGCAGGACCTGTTTATTTTATAGGGAAAAAAATAACCTTTTAGAAAAGATAATTAACTTTTTAGAAAAGTCATACAATTTAAAATTGAAGTTTTAACCATAACAAAAACCTTTAAATTTCATTCTTTGCTTTATGTTATATATATCACGAGGTCTAGTCTTTAAACCATGCCTGTTTAAATTGTCTGTTATAAGTGTAGGATTAGCACCATGAGATAGCAGAAGCATTGTCTGCTGCTCGAGAACACCTTTTGGTTGACGTTCTGAACTATACATACCGAACTGCTCAGGCCCATGTGGATGATTATGAACTAAATTTTTTTTCTTAATATAATAACTCCTTATTTCTTTTTTATAGGCTACATAAATAGCCATCTTACAACCACTTGCTAGCACGCTATTTTCTCGTAACCCTTTGCCTCTCTTTAAGACACTGGGTATTACTTCTCCATAATGTTTGCATATCCACCTGTAAAAATAAAAATCTGTAAAGTTGAATATTTAAGTAACATTTTATTTTTAATATTTTTATTTTTAAAATATCGCAAATTATTAATTTTTTTTTTTCTTCACTTGCAACAAGGAAGCACTATTTATGTTAGAAATTACTGGAAAAAAAAAGATAAAGATTATAGAGCAAGATAACGATTAACAGACAAAAAAAAAAGAAAAGTTGAACATTATAAGAATCAGGAAAACAAGATAAAGGAAGTGAATTAAATGTAAAACTGATACTCGAAGAAAAAAAGTAGATAAATAAGAATCTTTGAAACACTTAGGAAAAAATAAAAGGATGAGACTTAATTGAATGACTAATAACACGACAATGAATTTTAACAGATGGCGTAAGAGACACTAGCTCTTTAGAGCAGAGCCCATTTTAGTACTTGTAGAAGAAATTAAGAGAAGCAACATCACCACAATATGATTGAAGCAACATCATATGATAATGGTTGGAGGTTGGCTGCAAGAGCAGGTCCAACTAAGTTTTGCACCTTGTCTAAAAGAGAAAGAGCATCTTCGGAAGATCCTTCCCAGATATTTCAACAGAATTCCGTAGAAGGACGGATAAATTATTTATAGAGATAAAGAATGGAAATAGGAGTCTAAATGTGGCAACAAGATAAAGAGATGCAAGGTTAGAAGATGCTAATTTTGATATCAATTTGATATAAGATCAGAAGTAATAGTTAATCCTAAAAGATGATAAGAAGATGACTCATCAATTATATTACCGTTCATAAATTTAGGAAGATAAAAGTTATTGCGATAACAATTGGCTGAAAAATATTTAGTTTTATCTGAGTTCAAGTTCACCAGCCACTGAGAACCCCATGCTGTAGCAGAAGTAGCTTAAAATAGATCTGCTGTAGCAGATCTATTTTAAGCTTGGATACCTCTCCAAGCAATCAGAGAGTGTTGGTTTTTATCAAGACAAGAATAAATATTAGTGTCATCAGCCAACAATGCCACCTAAGATGTGGGAGTTTCAGGGAGATCATTAATGTACATTAGAAAAAGTATAGGACCAAGGATGGAACTTTGAGGAATCCCTGAAGTTACCGGAAATGAGAAGAATGCTGTCCACAAAGTATAACTTTTATAATACGATTAGTAAGGAAGAATTCAATAATCTTTAAGACATTATCTGATAAACTGTAAGACAAAAGCTTAAGGAAAAGACCCGAATGCCAAACTTTATCAAAGGCTTTAGAAATATCAAGAGCAATGGCCTTAGCCTCTCCACAATTATCGAACACACGATAAAACCTATCAGTTATTAAAGTAAATTATTAGATTCAAGATGAGAGATTAATTGTGTGTTAATTAAAGACTCAAAAACCTTGCTTATGCTAGTAAGAAGACTGATGGGATGATAGATAGACAAGTCAATTCGCAATCTAAAACTTTAAAAAATAGGAAACACAGACACAGCTTTCCAGCAGGGCGGCAAAAAATGACTTCTATAAACATTTGTTAAATAGTTTTGAAAGTATAGACGACAGCTCCGAACAACACTTCTGCAAGACTATGACAGGTATGTCATCTGAACCACAGGCTGAAGAAGTTTAAGCAAGAAATCACTTTTGATACAGAAGCTGGGGTGATAAGAATGTCAAGCGATGGATTAACCTGTTTGATGGTTATATCAGGTAGAATGTGATTGGTCGAATCAAGAAATGAGATAAATAAAAAGTTCTTAGCGAATAATTCAGCTTTGTCTTTAAGTGAAGTAACAAAATCTGAACTGTACAAAAAAGGTGGAATAACAGATTTGCCCCTATTATAGAAGTCTTGACAGCCTAATTTCTGAGAAAAAATACTATATTTTGTGACCTGGGAATAGTGAGTTTTGGCGTTAGACAAAACCATGTTACAATGGTTTATAAAATAACAGCTTTAAAGAGATCAAACCATTATCAGAAGATAATGGTTTGATCTAAGTGTGAATGTGGAGAAACTGAGCATTGACAAGGATCAGAAACAAGACATAAGTCAAGTAGAGAAGATAAATGATTCAGATTATCCGGAAAGTTGACTATTTGTGTTAGAGATTGAGAAAGGCAAAAATCAAGCTTAAGAAAAGGTTTACTCTTATGTAAAATTAAATTTCAAGGTAGGTTTGCTATTGACTACTATTTGATTAGAAAATGTCTTGATACCCAAATTTTCACATTTAGACATTATTAAAATGAAATAAAATTAATTTCTATTAAAGTAGATTTAATCCGTTTTTGTTTAGACTCATTATAAGCGCAGTGGCAAATTAATTTTAAAAGAGACTTTGACTTGTCTCTCTGCCGTATAAAAATGTGATTTAGATACTATTATTATATTCACAATTAGTTATTTAATTGAATTATTCATTAATGTTGAAAGCTTTATATTTATCCTTCACTAGAAATTTCTAGATTTAGTGGACTTGGAAAGGATTTTATTCCTAATTAGTTGCTTACAAACAGAGTAAATATTATATAATTTCACAACAAGAGCAAAAAAGCACAACATGCAGTCTATACCAAAATAAATGTTCTAACAAAAATCAATCTAATTTCATTTGTTCTTGCTCAATGGAGAAATGAAAATGTTAGGTTTCAACAACCAGTTATTTTTGGGGAGAAATCACTTTATTATAGAATAAAAACTTTTTGGGAAAAACAATTTAAAACATCGCATGAAGAAGAACTGAAGCTAAGGTAAAAGAACTAATACCAGAGTTTTAAACTAATAGACCTCATAACAAGTCCTCATACAATATTTTTATGAGCATAATCTGTTTGGGTATCCCCCAAAAATAGTACGATTATAGCACACATAAATTGCAGCTGTATTTTTACTAAACGAATTTTAACTATGGAGCTCATGATATAAAGTCAAAGATATAAGACAGGTTGAAAGTCTGAGATGCAGATAATACATGCTAATAATTTGAAGGGACAGTTACATTCTATTATTATCAAGAGAATCACATTACTGTGGCTATAGAGCTTTGTGTTTGATATCTATCTGAATGCACGTATTCATTCGAACAAACCAGCTACAAAGCTTCTTTAAGTTGTTTGTTTTTCTTAGCAAAAATATAATCTTACTAAATGATGTGTAATACTTATAGATTAAACAAGTTATTTTCGTGTCACCTAATAAAAGGAATTAATGGACCAACATCATTTAGTACTGGATTTGTAAATCCTACAGGAAAATATCCTGATATTTATAAAATGGAGTATAATCTTCAATTTAAAACTTGTCCAGATGGAGAGAGCTTTGTTAACATTTCAGAAACAATATTAAAAAAAGATGTCAACGCATCAAAAACAATATTATAAGCTATGTAAAACTTAAAAAATCTAGAGCTACTTATCTTATTCTGTTTACAAATTACTTTAAACTTTTTTTAACATAATAAAAAACAAATTTAAAGATGCTTCCACATTCTGTTTCAATTGAGAATTTTCAGAAATCAACCTGATAGGGTAAAAGAAAGAATGACACCCTATGCCCAGCTAGGAGCTTGGTATGCAAAGTATATGAATGTCTTCATTATCTAGTAATAATGCAGAACAAAAAATATGAACAAAATAAGAACAAAATATGGTAAACTTTGCAGTTTACCATATTTTGATACAAAAAGGCAACGATATTGTTGGAGATACCAGAATCAGACCAAGAAAAATACCTAAAGAACTTTGCAGCAAGACTTTTCAAGAGATAGTTAAACATAAAAATACTGTAGTACAAGAACCTGTTTTAACTTGTTTTCTCACAAAAGGTAACTTGTAATTGCTAAGATTGACACCTTTAATAACTCCTTCAGTTAAAATTTTTACCCAAAGTACAGAGCATGCTGTAAAACAAGTGACATTTGCATCCATGACCATAGATAGGCCAGGGGCAAGAGATGGTATATTAGTTCTCAACATAGACAGTTGCTACCTGGGTTAAAAGTGGCTTACGTGTTAAAAACAAAGAAATAAATTCTGTTAAGTTTTTAATGTATATAGATTTGAAAGATTATATTTTATTTTTTTAATAGAGTTTTAGAGTGTTTTCAAAATATTATTTCGGTAAGATAGTTGTATTTTGGTAAAACCGCATCACTGGCCACCAGCGACGGATTCAGACATCATACGGCCCGGGTGTTTTGTTTTTTTGGAGGCCTGTTTTATGTGGAAAAGCCTAAAAATAAAAAAATAAAAAAAGCTCCTCTAAAATATTTGGGGGCCCCTAATTTGTGGGGCCTGGGCATCATACTTTTCAAATTTTTGATTTTGAATTCGGCGGATGATTTTAATGGTGCCACTATATCTAAAAATGAACTTCCAAAATAAAAAAATTTGAATAAAAATTTGAATAAAATTTTTTTTACCTAGACGGGATGGCAGTTTTCGAAAAGGTAAAACTGTTCATTTATGCATAAATGCAAGAGGGGTCAAAATTTTAAAATTATTGAAATATGAAACTATTTAGATTTTTTTTTATATATTATTATATGCTGTGAAATGTAAATAATTTTTTTTTCCAAAAAAAAATAAATTTTCGCAGGGAAAAAGGCCTTATAAGATTGAAAAAATATATAAAAATTGGAATTTTTTTCATAATAAATTTTCAGACTTTATTTGTTGGAATGAAGTTTTTATAGTTCAACTTAACAACATCGTTTAGCTTTACAATACAAAACAAATTTAAGTTATAATATTGTCATAAAAATGTTTTGGTTTACGATTTTGATTTGAAAAGGTTACTAAAATTTTTTTTTGATTAAAGCTTGGGCAAAGTTTTTATGTTATTCATTCGTGCTCTCACAAAACCGTCTCTTTTTTCAAAATCACAAACGGAAAGTGCTGCTTCTGTAACTTCTTTTACTGCCCTTTCACAAGATTGCGTGTGAAGAGGAAAGTACAGAGCTTCAAAGCAAGTGACCAGCTATTTGC